CAAGCAGCACATTAAAATGAGAGACATACTGATTGCTGTTCTTGGTCTGACTGTGTTGCAGGAGAACAGGTTCCGTGGGTGGCGGCCGTGGTGACGTTTGTCGTCATGGTAGTGGTGGTGACTCTGGTGGTGGTCGCAGTGGTCTATCGGAAAAATATATCCCACTTTCTCTGCCCGAAAGATTCGCTGCCTCAGCACTTTAAAGAGGTGTGTATGTTTATATGTATCTGCGTGGATTTGTGTGTACAAGTTTGTTTGTTTGCAATGATTCACCTTCAACCCTGTCAAGTTGTGCTGCACTGATTCCAACCGTATGCATGTGTGTATTCATGCCCTTACAGTGTTTCCCCTCCTTTTGGGGGCTTTAGCCAGGTGTTAATGAGTTAATTTGCCTCCCCTGTCCCTCAGTACCTGCTGGCGCCCCCCAACTCATCCACTTACATAGCCATGTGGAACTCCCAACCACCTGAGGAGATCTACGACCCGGTCAGCATCATTGCAGACGACAGCACTGTGGAGGAAGGGCGCCCCCTGAAGGCAGCAGGGACCAGCTGCAGCAAACAACCTGATATCACAGCAGGGGAGACATAGGACAGAGGAGGCAACGGCTTAAAAGCACAGAGGCAGTGAAGAAGAGCCGATTTTAAAAGACACTGACAGTGAAATAATCGATTCTTGCTTGACTTCAGAGTTTTGGGGGTGGCTGCTGCTCGGGACGTAGAGCGGGTTGTCCACCAATCAGAAGGTTGGCGGTTCGATCCTCGGCTCCTCCTGCTGCATGTCGAAGATACTGAACCCCAGATTGCTCCTGATGCGGTGTGTGAATGTGTGTGAGTGAATCACTTTCTGTTTGTGATGAGCGTTTGCCATCACTGTGTGAATGGGTGAATGTGGCATGTAGCGTAAAAGCGCTTTGATTGGTCAGAAGACTAGAAAGGCTCTATACATGTACAGTCTATTTGCCATTTTGATTCAACAAATCCTGCAGCAGTCCCATTTTATTCCCTCGGAGCAGGTGTTACTGTGAAGGGACTGTACAGCAGAGACGTGTAGGTACAGGAGTCCTACAGGTTGTTGTTGTTGTGCTATACAGTCCTAATGTTGCTCACAGTATTGCCACATACTGTGCTTGAGTGAAGGAGTATGGCACGCCCATTGGAGCTGCCCACACACTAAAGTATTTATGCTGCCATGGTGCTATAGGATCACCATCCACCATTTACCGTGCTTGTGTCTGTATTGTGGATGTGGACTTAAAAAACCTGCATAATCTGCCATCTAGTGGGCACATTTTGTGAAGCACGCAGATTTTATTTGCCTCTTTTTGGCAATATGAAGGTTTTCTTAGAATGAGAAGTGAAAGCGTGTTTGTGAGAAACACAATAAGCCAACGCAATGTCTAAGGTTTACACAATAATGTTGTACTCAGTTAAACTTCAATAAAGTCATTATTTGAACATGTGTGCCTGTGTTGGGTTTGATTCTGACATTACACAAGTGAATGAATATGTTTATTTATTGTATGTACTTTTAACCAAAAGAACCATGACATGAAAATTATTTATTAGAGAATGTCTTCAAAACTTAAATTAAAACTCCAAGGCTTGTATTTGTTGTCCGATTAAAAGAAGTAGTAGTAGTAAGAAGAAGTAAGTCCTGAACTCACAACGTATGCTGACAGAGAGTAGATCGATCATGAAAATATGTAAATGTCCCAAATTGTCTCAAGGGGGTTTAAAAATGGAAAGAGTGGGCCAAGGAAGTGGTAAATACAACCCTGAGAGTCCACCTTTGTATACAGTTGTGCTAATCTCTATAAGATAACTATAGAATAAGTGCCTTAGACCAACATAACAATGATTATTTTAAAACACATTGAACAAGGATTAGCATTTGAGATATATCTCTATTATAGTTACAAAATTAAAATGAACTAACACATCAGAGGGCATGCCCAGTGTCGGCCTGCAGGGGGCGCTACAACTGTGCAGTCAGTGTCTCAAACCAGAGTGCTGGAGACAGAGGGGGACATCCACTCTGTCAGACCTTTTCTTTCAGTACCTGGGGACCGAGGAGACGCTGACAGCTCTAAACACTGGGAGCATGTAAGAGGAGGACTGTAGAGCTGTGGTAGTCTGATGAGCTCTGAATTTTAATTTTGTTTCTCTTCATTCACTGTACACACAGGTACGTGTGTACAAGTATTTTAGAGCTATGTATATACAGTAAGCATGTTATACAGTACATGTATGTAATAAGATGAATATTTCTATGGGAAATTATTGTTTCTTATTGTATTAACTAAATGAAAAGTCAACATCTGGAAACATGTTTATTGTGAACCAAAATGCACACACACACACACACACACACACACACATATATATGTATACATATTCTCTATATATAATACCAAAGCGTAAAGTATATGTATATATATCTATCTCTCTCTATATATATAGAGAGAGAGAACATTCAGTACATACTGAATTTTCAGTCATCTATAAAAGTCTGTAAACAATAAACGTTTCATTCACACAAAATTGTTCTCTTTCTATTTTAACCTAACCTTCATCAATGTGATCACTACTTATCAATACTGATAAAGACACAACTGACATGCATGCAAAGCTAAGGTTATACTTACAGTGAATATTAACTGTGAGCCACATCCTGTACAGAACAAAATACGCTTCAATACTCATTTCACACCCTAGGTGGTTAAATATCTTCCTTTTCAACAGTCTGATGAACTTGAATTGTTACATTTTGATATATTCTAAGAATATTACCAACTGTAAATCTGATCTGCCCTCCAGAGTATGGGACTGTTTGGGAATGGTCTGCCTTTATTTGATTAAAAAACAAAAAACTGGCCCTACAGAGTGAATACGTTTGACGCAACTCTCTGTCTCCAACACTCTGGCTCTCCTGGCATCAAGCTGCAGACACAAGACCGGAACAACGATTGCTGTGCTTTCAAAATAAAAGTAATGCCTTGCTCTCGATCATAGACGGTTAACAAAGAAGAACGTGTGTGTCTGTGGTTAAAACACTATAAGGCGTTGGGGATACAACAGTTCATTAGTACTGAATGACATGACAGTGTTAGGGTTGTCTATGTGTGTTTCCAGAAGGAGTTATGAAACCATCAGTGGTTACTGGACAATCAAATGTGCTGCCATAATCTGGAGTAGTGCTTCTGTAATTGTTTTACTGTCTGTGCTTATGTGGCTTTTGTATGTTTTCCTGTAATGTCTTTTATGTGTCACATGGTTATGACATGTTATTATTGTTTATGCTTATGTGGTTTTATATGTGCTTATGTGCTGTTGTATGTATTCTTTTAATTGTATGCCATCAACCTACCAGATAAATGTATTAATTTGTATTAATCCCCTATTGGAGAAATTCTTCTTTTCACTCTTTTTTATATTTTCATACACACGTAGGGCTTGTGGACTTATGGCATCCATACTGTGGTCCGTGGGACTTGAACCGGCGACCCTCCGGAAAGAATAACTACAGTACCTATGTAATAAAAACACAGGGAACTATTAACTATTTAACCATTTAGAGTCACAAAGAGGCCAACTCATTCTGAAAGGGCAAGTAGTGATCTGGAGAAATGAAAAAATGAGAGGGACATTTTTTTTTTCACTTTACCGTTGACTTTTTTTTTAGTAACATGATTTCATGTTGAAGACAAATACTTTAAACTAACTCTTTAGCGGTGCAATGTAACAAAGTACTTAAGTGCAATTGAGGTTGGCATACTTGTACTTTATTTGAGTATTTCCATTTTCTTCTACTTTATACTTTATACTCTACATTTATTTGATAACTTCGGTCACTGCAGATTCAGATTAACTCAGAATATAAATCAACTAATAAAATTGATATTATTGTTGTATTTTTTTTTTTTTAAACATATATTTATTGACATTTTGAGTAAGTTATACAGACATGAACATACAACACGAACTTCAAATACCCCACCCCCCAAGGATCTCATCCATCACAGTCCAAAGAAGAACAAGCA